AGTAAATAGTGCTACAATTAACATGGTAGTGCAAGTTTCCTTAGGATTAGTGTTTTTAAGTTGTTTGGGTAGATGCCTAAGAGTGGAATTACTAGTACCTTAAGATGACAAGAAATGTTTTTTATTTGTTTGAGGTCTTTCTTATTTCTTGACCTGGGCCTATATGGCCATATACTTCCCTTATAATACTACCTTTGCAGTGTCCCATAGCTTTGTGTCTTCATTTTCATTTGTCTCCAGCATTTATTATTTTTTCTTTGATTTCCTCATTTATGCAATCATCATTCAGTAGTGTATTGTTCAGTTTCCATATATTAGGTTTTTTTCCTGAGTTTTTCTTATAGTTGACTTATACTGTAAAACCATTATGATCAGAGAAGATATGTGATATTATTTCAGTGTTCTTGAATTTACTGACACTTATATTGGTACCCACTGTGGTATATTCTAGAGAATGTTGTATTAGTACTTGAGAAGAATGTAGAATCAATTTATTTTTAGGAGCATGTTTCAGTGTCCTATAAACATCTATTAAGCCCATGTGATTCTACTCATTTAAAGCTATTATTTCTTTGTTGATTTGCTACCTGGTTAATCTGTCCATTGGTGAAAGTGAGATGTTGAATTCTCCTACTATTATTGTATTGCTGCCAATGTCTGGTATCATAGTTGATAATAGTTACCTTATATATTTTGAGTGTCCTTCATATTGGATGCATAATATTGATGAGTGGTGTGTTCCTGATATATCAATAGCTTAATTATTATGTGTCCATCTATCTCTTTTTTATTTTTTAGTTGGAAACCTATTGTATCTGCAATAAGTATTGCGGTCCCTGTTTTTTTTTTTTTTTAAGATTTATTTATTTATTCATACAGAACTGGGGTACAGGCCAGAGTTGCGGAGGGTGAGAGGATTCACGAGGGACAGAGTAGGGAGCAGAACAGGCAGATCGATGAAGTACACTGTACACTGCTGAGGGGAGCAGCAGGAGGGTCAGGAGAGGTCTGCCACGCCATGTGGTCACCTCCGGGGCAGGCGGGGATCGAACTCATGCGGAAGTGGCTTAAGCTTCTTAGTGCAGTGCTTTAACCCGCTGCACCACCAGGGAGGGCCTGTCCCTGCTTTTTTTTATATGTGTCCCGTTTGCTCATAGGTTTTTTTCCCAGTTTTCTACTTTGAGTCTGTGTTTATCTTTGAAGCTCAATTGTGTCTCCTGGAGGGTTTTTGTTTTCTCATTCAACTGACATCTCTGTCTTTCTTGATTGTTCAGTCCATTTACATTTATAATGATTATTAATCTATGAGGATTGGTATTGCTATTTTGTCTTTTGTTTTCTGGTTCTATCTAATTAATTCCTCTTGGGTTTTTTTTGTTTTTTGTTTTTTTTTTTTTTGTAGATTTCCTTCTCTTTGATTTAGATAATGGAGCCTCTTTCAATATTTCTTGTAGATAAGATCTGGGTTAGTAAACTCTCACAACTTTTATTTGTTTGGGAAGAACTTTATTTCTTCCTGTATCTGAAGGAGAGTATTGCCTAAGTCTAAATTTTCTATCTGTAAAGTGGTAGTGATAATACTTTACAAAGTAATTTTGAGAATTAAAGGGAAGTTTATTTAAAGTACTTATTGCTTACTTCTAGTTTGCCTTCAAATACAAATGCTCAATAAATGACTATATTGCAATTCTGCTAGATTATCGACTAAGTAAACAATCTGTGAACTGGTCTAAAAATAGGACTATTTTTAATATGGAAAATTTCCACTTTCCAAGAAATTAGCTTTGATCTGATCTTCATTACAGAAAATTTATATACTTAACTTTAAAAATTCAATTTATTTTTAAAGGAAGTACTGGCCCTTCTAATTTCTATTCCTTTTCATTTAGCTATTTAGCTATCATCTCAATCTCATAATTATCAGTATATAAGCTTCTATCTGAATCTAGAGTTCCCCTGGAACAAAGGCTGTCTTTATTGGATAACTACTTATTGAGCACCTATATTCCAGTAACTGTATATAAAAATCTTCACATGGCACAGTTCATTTCCTCATGGATCTTACATTTTATCTGAGGAAATAGATATGCAGATATAATCGAAGATAAAGTACATTATAATAAAGATGTGTTCAAAGAACTATACTACAATGTGGAAGAAGAAATTGATTTTATCTGATATGATAATGAAGTCTTGGTAAAGGAATTCACATTTAAACTGCACCAAATATGCATCACAATTGATAATAAATTAAAAAGTCATTAGGAAACAGGTCAACATGAGTTGCTACTTTGGGAAAAGATACATAAGTGGCGATGGTTTGTTTGAATCTTGAATACAGGAGATATTGCTTGATATGTATCTAGATATATATATAATAGTAAATATATACTATTAATAGATACTAAAATGGTTCATGGAATATAGGATTGGAGAGACGCTATCTTAGAATTAGATTCTGTAGTCTTGGAAACCAAGAAGAAAAGTTTAGATTTGGTGCAATAAGCGAAATAAGAGTCATTTTATGCTCTAATACCAACTTGTATGTAATATGGGGAAAAACAAAGTTGGAGGAACATTTTTCCAACACTGACTCTGTGGGTAAAGAAGGAAAATCAGATCATTTTGAAAGCAAAAGGCAAGTGTGATGTGTTATAGGTTTAGATTAATAAGTCTATGGAGAACAACTATAGAGTTGTGAAAATCATATTTTATGGGTACCATTTGAAAGATTTGAATTATCATATCACTGACAACTATATCAAACTAACATGGAAAATGATGAATTGTCATTTTAGTCAACAAAAGTTACTTAGTGACATCTATGTGCCATCTGTCATGTGACAACATGTTATTATACATAAGAATGTATATAATAGATATGTTTCATTCAGCTGTTATTTCCTATAGGACATCTTATTTCTCCAAATAAATAATCCTTTTCTGCTAAACAGGACCTCATCTCATGTTTCTCATACATTATAGAGTCTAACCTATAAAGGATATAAATCTGACACTTAATACAATCTTATTGACTGGTTAAATAATTAAGGCCAGAAATATCAGAACACTAGTCCAAGTTCTAGGTAAAACTGACAATGAATAAGAATTGAATCTACTTTCATTCATTGTTACATATCTTGCTAATAACATAGTGGGAAATATTTTAAACCTGTAAGTATAAAGCTATATAGTTCAGTTTATCTTATGCTGTTTAGAACAAATTTCATGAATCTAAGTCATCAACAGAAATAGTGAGAAAAGTCTTCTATTTGAATAAGTCTTTCACTTAAAGTCTTTCACTTTAAAATGTGATCTTAAGAGGTGTGTGGAGGGGAGACAGAAATGAGAGCGAACCAGTCCAATCTTTCATAGCAGAATATTTATTTCACCAGAAAAAAAAAATATTCTAACTGCACAAGAATAGGGAAAAAAAAAATGTCTGAATACCCTTCCTTGACAAGATCCAGGGCTTTCACATGAGAATAAAATGAACATTTACAGTAAGTTTAGATTTGGGGTAGAATTTCAAGCTCTTGTCCATCAACATATGATAATAGATGAATGTGACACTTGCATAATAGCACTTGTTTGAGCACTTTTAGAAGGAAGTAGGGTATCTTTGCAGGGCATAAAGGGAGTGTAAAAATTTAAGGATGTTTTCTTTTCAAGGAAAAATAACACCTACTCAAAATAAGTTGGCAACTCTATGTTCAGAATCTATGTTGTTACTCTAATGTTCAGGAATGGTTAAGGAAGGAAAAGGAATCTCAAGGTCACTGGCAATAGTCTTTAGAGTATTCTTATAGGGCTTATCTGTGCTCACATGCCTAATTTTTTTCCAAGTGCAAAGAATGGCCACTTGCTTGAGACAGGCCCAGTGCCATCCTTTATTCAAGTTCCTTTATACTCCTCTTTTTAAAGAAGCTGTCAAGTTCTTTTTTTTGCAGCTGACAGAAAAGGCCAAATCTGTGGTACAGGAAAGGAGACGCAAAAAGAAACTTTTTTGTGTTGATGTTTTACTAAGTGAGCTAAGGAGAATTTTAGAATCATGTAATTTACTCTGGAGGCATTTACTGTACATAGCTATAGTGATGGTAATTTCTTTCATTGTTGAAGTGAAAAGATAACCATCAATCAGTTGTCAATTGGTCAATTGCAGAAGTGATGAAAAGAAACTGGTAGGAACAATCACTTCTATGGCTACCTAGACCATTTGGAGGCTTAAGAAAACTATGGGAACTGGATTGCATTTTATAAAGGGATTGGATTACATTTTCAAAAGGTTAATAAGCATAACTTCCTTATAAAGAATGGCTTTGCAGTTATAACTCTCAGGAAATGCATTTTAAAAATGAAAAATAAAAATGACATAGGATTTCAAAAGTAAATTTGTTTTTATTATACTGGAAATCAGGTAAGAAAGTACATATAACCTGGAATTTCACTTTGCTCATAATAGAGGAATTAAATGTAGCTTACTAATAACTCCATCACATGAATTTTAGAATAAATCAGTGAAAATTATTTTGTAGTCGTGCTTTGGTCTCAATCTTAAGCATTTTCAAATAATTAACTTTCCAAGTATTTATCACATGAAATTTCAAGTTCAAGTTAAATTTGAACATTGTTATTAAACAAACATCTACAAATAATTCAATTTTTAAAATCTGTGAATGCTTACATAAAAGTTAAGATAAATTTAAAAATCATTAACTTGCATAAAAGCAAATGTACTTTGGGACTTTGCTGTAAGCATGATTTTATTTTAATTTATCTTACTTTCCTAAGAATAGCAATGTTATTGATTTATTCTTAGTGAGTTCCCCCCACACACAGTGTTGTTTTTTTTTTTTTTTACTGTGGTAGGTAATAAAAAGGATTACAGACCCCCAAAAGGATGAGATATCATCAGTTTGTAATCCAGCCCGTGGTTTCCTAGATACCGTATTGTCTATTCTGTTCCGCTATGTGAAAAATGTTGAATATCAACAATGGGTTTCAGTGCTGTATTGTTGAGTTTTGTATGAACTAATCTAGCTTCACTAAGAAAAAAAAAAAGAAAGAAAAGAAAAGGAAGAAAGAAGAAAAAAAAAGAAAAAAAAAAGAACCACAGCTTTGGACAGAAGTCTATAGCCAGTGCATTTGAAACTCCCCTTGCACAAGGGCTGACTGTAGCTGGGGGAAGACAGTTTACTCATTTGCTCTCTCCTTTCATACAGTCAGCTGTTCCCTCTTCTCAGGTGTAGATCACCTATTATCATTTCACCTGTTTTGATTCTCTGATGAGCAAAGTCCCAGGACTTATCAGCTGGGATAGGCCTCATTTACAAGACAACTCTGTTCAGTATTTGGAAGGTAAGCTATTTGAACAACTTCTCTGCTATGGTGTGCTGGCCTAACTCTAGAACTTTGCAGCATATCACTTATTTTTAACTTTCACTTTTTCTTCTCTTTTCTTCTTTTGGAGAAAGAAAGCCTGACAGGTTTCTCCGGAAAAGTGGCCATCCATGGAATGAATGAAATGTTCCCTTTCTATTCCAGTAAGTAATTGACTTGTAACTAAAAATTGAACTGGCTGCTATGTCAATGCAATGTGAGCGGCTGCTGGCACAGGTGTTGCTTACTCTTTAGCCTGGAAAGAAAAGGGGCTTAACCTGTGATTAAATTTCAAGTCAATTGACCTCAACATGATAGTGCATAATTTTCACGCCTATGGAATGGCCTGGGTTCTTATTTTGACCCTGACTCTGGCACCTGTATTTTTAATGTTTGGTGTAGCTAAAACTAGTGTTGTTCTTTTGGTTAGACATAAGGTGGGTGGAGAATCATTTAAAGTAAATAACAAATGTGGTCAGCTGACTAATTTTCTAATCCATTGCTCAGTGTGTTCTGTTTTTTAATGAATTAACTTTAAGTTCCTATAAATTATTATTTAAACCTCTTTTTAATAGTATGAATTCATGAACAACCATAGTATTATGAAGAATACACAGTAAATCCAAATCAGTAAAGTACAAGTAAGCAAAGGAACTGAAAATTACACTGCAGAGGACTGTCTAATACTTAGCCTTGATTATGTAACCTATCATATGCTTTCTAAATGTGTCTTGCATTTTAATAATTTTTAGCCCAAGGGGAAAAATTGACAGCATTGTTTTTCCTAATTTCTGTAAATAAAACAAAAGACTATTTAACTCTAGCAAGATGACCCTACTGGAGCTTTGAAGACAAACCTGTATCTTTATCAAAAAACAAAATAAAAATCATTGACACTCACACTTGAAGCTAGTCACCACTCGTTTTATGTAAAATGGTTACAGGCCTACGATTCGGTTTATAAGACCAAGCAACCCTGGGTTGTTTTTTCTTCCTAGCTTCCTTTTAACCTGAGAACTAGAAGAAAGTGCTGCTGATGCTTGCTTAACCCTGCTTTTAGTGCCAGGCTGTGACCAGCTCTCTGTGAAACCATTTCTGACCCTCTGCTTGCAGTGGTGAACCTGAATTTTTCCCCTTCCTTGCCCATCACTGTCAGTCAATTATAGGATTGAACTGAACCAGAAAATCTGGTACAGTCTGGTAATTAGTACAAAGGGTTTCCAGTCTAGTGTAAAGACAGAGATGCAAGAGCCCCAGCAGTCACAGAAATCGTTTTGATTGGTCATGGACATTGCCTTTTAGTGCTGCTTGGTGACTTCCTAAAGATATTGCCTCCTACCCTACAGGTCTTCTCCTTCAAGTACATTATGGGCCTTTTTTTTTTTTATATAGTCATGTGTGTGTGTGTGTGTGTGTGTGTGTGTGTGTTTCTTTTTTTAGATCCAACTTCTCGCATTTTTAGGCTGTCATTTTTGCCTATCAAACAGACACATTTTGACTTGCCCAACAAAGAACCAAGTTATCAACACTCACAGAAACTGACATTTTTAATTCAGGCTTCATTATGTCTTTGAATTATGACAGTAAAGTACAAAGACATTTTAAGGGTTTTTTCATTATTTTTTTTAATCCAGCACTGGGATGTTTATCTTTCTTTAGTATTCATATTTCCTTTTCTACCTTTATTCTCAGTAATATATAATTAGCATTATCAAAACCATCATCTATTATCCTTCATGACTTTTGACCTTTATTTTTTTAATGTCTCCAACAAGATTTTCTACAATAAGTAAAATCTTCAGAAAAGATGTTAGTAAAACACTTTATGTTAATAAAAACAATGAAATACCTGAAAGCAATCTTTTAAAAACATCAACTGTATACCACTAGGCAAGAAATGAGTTATAAGATTAAAAACAGCAACAAGAAAAATTCAGAAGAAATAATTTTGTAAGTCAAAGTTGCATTGAATGGTAAGTGCAATTTTATAGTATATATTTCATCATACATTTTTAACTACCACTTTGGAGTACTAGGCTTAGTATCAAAGCTATATTTGGATAATTTTTTTTTTTTTGCAGAATCAAACATCCTCTGATTATAGATTATAATTACTCATTAGTCACACATTAGATACAAATGCATTTGTAACAATTGCCTGTCCCCAAAAGATAGATATATGTATACTTCAGGGTAAATTTAATGTCATACACCCTGTAAAAACTGCAAAAGTAGCAGTGTCAAAAATAACAGAAACAAAAAAAGCCCAAGGATTTTCATTTCGAAGAATGCTATCTTTAGAACATTTCCATCATGATTTTAGTTGTGATGCTTTTGTATTGTGAATCTTCTAAAGAACCCTTTATTTACCCACATCTTAATGTAGCTTTAAGTATCTGTTTTATCCTATGTACAATCTTACAAAAGTAGTTACTATGTCTGCTACTGATTTTTACATGTCTGCTTTACTATTAAATTTCAAAAAGGTTAATATTGCTTTTGTAACCCTGTCATGAGTAATGCATTTTCCCAGCAAACATGTCATAATTTTAAAGGCTGTTCACGAGCAGTATTTCTGTTGCAATAGTTTTGCATTCATTTCTCTATTGTTTTTTTTTACCATAATATAGTGTAATGCTTTGAAAAGAATACACATACTTATGTAATTAACACTCTTTGTTTTTAGAAAAACCTTGTCCATTAAAATCTAAGAGGGTCTTAGAAAACTATATAAATGGGCAACTTTTCAGTGACAATATTTGAATTCAGTTTTAATTCACCATCAAGTCTATATCTTAAAATAAATACTTAAAATGGCTGAAGGAAAACACATTGTTAATATTTTTCTTACTTTATGTTCTAATATAAAATGTATATTGAAATTTAATGCCTATGGCATTGTTCTATATTCTGTAGTAGCTGAATGTTGTGAGTCTGTATGAAATTACAGTTTTTCTCAGGCTTTAATATAGACACAAGCATTCTTCTCTATCTAACTCTTACTCGTATAGGTAGAATTAAGACTTACAAAGAATCCTAAAGGTTATCTAGCCTTATGGTTTTCAAACTGTGTTCCCCTGGGTGCTAAGACACTTTGGGCATACTCAAAGTATTATAAGTGGCCTCTAAACAGAGTATCTTTAATTATAGCTGCTAAATCTATAATAGTTCCATGTAAGATGGGAATCCCTTGCAGTAAAAATATACTGAGTGAAACTATTTTATAGATAAGGAAAGAAGGTATTACTTAGGGTGCTCACTGTCTAGTGGCAATGTCATTTTGCAATCCCAATCTTTTTTATCTTTGAGTCCAAGTTCATGTTCCTAAACTACAATAAACTTTTCTACACAGTAATGTGTTTTTATGCAAGGTCATCCTAAACTATATTACTAAAAGAAAACAGTAAGAGATCCAAAATCCTATATTCAAAATCAAGATATTTATGAGGAGGTAGAATCTGGGTGATAAATGCAGTTGAGTAACACATTGTAAAGCAAATTCAAGCCCTTTATTTGTGTGAATTATTGTAACTAGTGGGAAGAATATTGATTCTTCTATAGTAAAGTGATATTTGGGGAGTATTTATTAAATTTTAGCTGTAGTAAATAAGCACATGACAGGATTTACCATTTTAACTGTTCTAAATGTTAAGTTCAGTAGTGTTATCTGTATCCACATTGTTGTGCTTGTGGATGTTTATCATGTTGGGAAAAAAAAATAGCTAAAGCTTAAATCCAAAGGAAGAAAATAAAGCTGAATCAAGATGCTAATTTTCCCAAATCATGTTTTATGGAATATTATTCCAAAAATCTTTACCAGCTAAAAAAGTAATGGCCAACCCATTTTGGAAAATAAGCATACTATGCCCCTCTTTTAGAAATACACAAGGAAAAAAATTTTTTTAAAAGCTCAGAAATCATAATGTAAAAAGCTCTTTCAACTTTTTATAATATAGATTATCCCAAGCTGTTTTTCTATGGCCTCTTTCCACCTCTTTTTGCAAAGTACATATTTTTATTCTTCAGGACTGATAATTGTGAATCTCTCTAAAAATCTGATGCATATTATTTTTGTTATTTATATTAACTGGCTCTGTATTTATTGATCTTTTGTCCTCATCTGTGTGACATCCTATTAATCAATCAACAAATATTTACACACAATCATAAATATTGGGATGACACTAATGAGTAAATCAGTTAAGGCATCTGCCCTTACAGAGTTTATAGTGCTAGTCTAAAAGAGAAAAAAAAAAAAAAAGAGATTCAGAGAACACAAGCAATATTACCTATTTCTAGCATTCATAATTTATCTGGATTTGTTTGTTTAATTTTTCCAAATATAAAATGAAATAGTAATGTTTAAAAAATAATAATATTCCAGAAGTTTCAGAAATTTACAGTCTGTTCTTTGAATAGAGATATGTCATATTTTACTGATATCTGCTTTTGCATCAGCTACTAGACCAATGATGATTCTCCAGTAAGAGGGAGAAGGAAGAGTATGAAGGAAAGAAAAGAAAGTTATGTTCCTTGGTCTCTCCTCCTATTACACTACTATTACAACCCCTTCTCTACTGACATTATTTTCCATGTAAGGAGAGTCCTTTCAAATGTCAGCTTAAGATTTGGTTTGGTCGATAGTCTTTATGTCATCATTGCATCTCTTAGTCAGATTCAACTCTTGGTGATAACCATGAGTCTTACCTTGATTGGAAAATAATTTCTGTGATTAGCTATCTAACCTTATTTACCAAGCACTTACCTCTATGCTAGAAAACCTGTGTATGGGCATTGACTGTGTATACATGGCTCTCCAGAATCATCCCATCCCTAGAACACCCGCAAAAAACATCAAACATAGACCCGCCATAAGAAACTCTTGAAAGATTCATCTACTTGTTGGACATTTCTGTAATGTCCCATTTTCTTAAATGGAAGTGGCTTGTGGGATATAGCCTGTATATATAACTTGAAAGTAAATATTATAAGTGACATAAAGATTAGGGAGAAGGAAATTATTCAAGATTTAAAGGAGAAAAAATATTAGTGTTTAAGAGAGAGAAAAATAGAACTTATGTCTACTTTGGTTGCTTAACTGAATTTGCTGTCATTAATTTGTCATAGTTTGAGTTCTGAAAATCTGCCCTGAGCTAAATTATGA